TGGGTGTAGTCAGTTATGGGAGGTTATCAGAAAAAAGTCCAGTAAATGAGGTAAGGTGATTATGCAAGTATAAGTCATTGTCTTCTTCATTGATGGGTTTCTACAGAAAATGTCACCTCCTTTTCCTGGTACAGTCAGGGAAACACCCTTCAATTGGAGATTTTCCTTACTATGTAAATGTTCCTTACAAAGTGTAACGTGTACTTGAATTTCAGAGCTTCTCCCATGAGTGATGTTTTTATTAAAATTAGCCAGCCTAAAATAATCTTTATGAAATTTTGGTGTGATGATTCTGTTCCCTTACATTTCCTAGACCTCTGTAATGTGTTATTGTACTGTACACTGCAGGAAATCGCATCACGATGACTATTTGTGTAATGCCTCATGTTCCGATGTTACCAAGGCTATGAAGTCTTAAGTGATAGGAATTTTTCAGCAACATTATAATCTTATGGGACCAACCTTATATGTGTGGTCCCTTGTTGACCAAAATGTCCTTATCAGCACATGACTAGGTGTACTCATTCCAGAGGCTGTGATAAATTCTGTGTTTGTTTCTTTTATATAAAGGCCCTTCGGTATCACCAAATAATGTACTTCAGAAAAAGACTTTGTAGTAGGCAGAATAAGGGCCTCAAAACATATCTACATGCTACTCCATGGAAACACTGAATACGCTATTTATCATAGAAAGGGAGGATTAAGGCAGCCCTTGACATAAGTTTGCTAATCTGCTGACTTCAAGAAAAGAACGTGGCCTTGATTAAGCAGGTGAAACTAATGTCATCACCATGGTCCTAGAAAATGGAACAGGAAGGAATAATAGCTGGAATCAGAGGGAGATTGGAAGGTGATGCACTGTTGACTCTGGAGATGGAGAAAGGGCCAGGAGCCAAGGAATGCTTGTGGCTTTGAGAAACTGGAATAGGAGAGGGAATGGATTCTCTCCTGGAGCCTCCAGGAAGAACCAGCCCTGCAGACATCTTGATTTTAGTCCAGTGAGACTCCTCTCAGGGTTTTGATCTTCAAAAAAATAAGAACATAAATTAGTTTCTTTCATACCCTGCTATTTTAAAATATGACAACCAGAATGTAACACATTTATTAAATCAATCTTTTTTTTTGTAGGAAATTTTAGCCTCCCATTTTATTCTATTAGCTTCTCTTGGATAAGGTCTTTTGTGTTGAAATCCCACCTCAAGTAGAAGAAAAAATGCAAAAATCAATTTACTCCATCAGGTGGTCTAATGAATCTTTCAGTGCATAAAAGTAAATATTCTGAATTTGAGGCCTTTGCGCATTAAAATAAGAAATATAATTCATTACTAAAAGTAAGGTCCACCATTCTACTTTAAATCTTTGTGTGTACAAATATACGAAAAGATGCTCAACATCGCTAGCTATTAGCGGTCAAATCAAAACCACAACGAGATACCTTCTCACACCTGTTAGAATAGCTATAATCAACAAGACAAGTAGTAACAAATGTTGGAGAGGATGTGGAGAAAAAGGAACCTTCATACACTTCTGGTGGGACTATAAATTGGTACAACCACTATGGAAAACAATATGAAGTTTTCCCAAAAAACTAAGAATTGATCTACCATATGATCCAGCCATCCCTCTACTTGGTATTTACCACAAAGACTTGAAAGCCCATATCTGAAAAGATATTTGCATGCTGATGGTCAAAGCAGAATTATTCAAAGTGGCCAGGACATGGAAGCAACGAAAGTATCCTACAACAGATGATTGGATAAAGAAGGTGTGGTACATACATACAGTAGAATATTACTCGGCCATAAGGAGATGAAAAAATATCATATGCGATAACATGGATTGACTGCGAAATAATCATGCTAAGCAAAATAAGCCAGACAGAAAAAGTTGAAAACAACATGATATCACTTATATGTGGGATATAAACCTAAAAGCAACAAACAGGAGAAACGGAGATTCATGGACATGAACAGTAGACTAGTAGTTACCAGACGGTGGGGAGGGAGAAAGGAAGAGAGAGGTAGATGGGATAAGGGGGTGAAATATATGATGACAGAGGCAAATCTACCTATGGGAGGGGAACATGCTACGCAATATATATATGCCTTACTATTGAATTTTACACCTGAAACTTATTGGATTTCATTAACCAATATCACCACAATAAAAAAAAAATCTAAAAAAAAAAAAAGAGGATTGGCTGTTATTGATATGGGATTGATATCATTACCGTAGTCTTACAATGTGTAAGAGGAAGGAAGGAAAGTTGGAATCAGAGGGAGATTGGAAGATGCTACACTGTTGGCATTGAAGATGGAGAAAGGGCCATGAGCCAAGGAATGCTTGTGGCCACAAGAAACTGGAATAGGAGAGGAAAGAAATTCTCTCTTGGAACCTCCAGGAGGAACAGGCCCTACAGAGTTCTTGATTTCAGCACATTATCTCCTCAGACTTCTGACTTCCAGAAGTTTAGGTGAATAAATGTTTTTCTTTTAAAGCCATTAGTGTTATGTTTTGTTACTGCAGCAATAGCAATGTTATACAGACATTTATTTAATAACTATTTTTGGAGGAATGTAACATTAAGCATCTCAATTTATTCATTTTGCTTCCCTTGGGTGAGGAAATTTTCTGTTGAAACCCGCACTAAGTAGAAGAAAAATCTAAAGTTAAATTGGAGATTTTGTCTCATTAGCTGTTACAGAGAATCTCCCATTGTATAAAGGTAAATGTGGTTCTGAATTTGAGGCCTTTGGACATTAAGATAGGGCAATAATTCATTATTAAAACTAAAGATAAACCTTCTACAATAATTTTTTTGGTACGTGTTTTCTTATTTTTTAAAATTTTATGTTAATTCAATCCAAAATGATTTTCATTTCTATCCTCTCCAACATTCTCTCACATTTTATTTCAACATAAAAGATGGGGTTATTGAGTCTGTTTATATACATATATGTGAGTGAGTGTGTTTATTTATTAAATAGTCATATGTAAATACACATACATTAGAAGAATACTAACTGACGAAAGAATTCTTGGATTCAACAAGTATTTCCACAGATTTCATGTATTCTGCACCAGATTTATCAGAAATATTATTATCCAGTATTACAATCAGAAATAATGAAACAGGCTCAGGGAGATTCAATTTTTAATAGATATGTAATAATGGAATTAAAGCTTTCCTACAGTTCTTTGAATGATGTGTAAATAGACCCATTCAATATATACTCTTAATTTGTTAGCTCCCTTTCTTCCAGCAACTTGTACACTTTAAATATCTGCAATATATTGCATGCAATTATTTTATACAATAAAATAAGAAATAGAAAAAAAATCTAGTGATGCCTAATTCAAAATTAGGTATCAAGTAGCTTGAGTCACACTTTAGTGGAGGAGGGAGAAATACCATTTGGTAGAAAACAAAGTGTTTTATATGAATATAAAAATAGTGGCATTAATTTGTCACAAATTACATTTGGTAAACTCATTTTTATTTGGTAAAGAAGATTATACTACATATATAAATAACCATCATATTGGTTCAAGACAGGGGTGCATTACAGCCTCCCACAACTTCATGGAGGAGCTATAGACACATGGTATACAGACCTCAGCTGATGCAGTCTCATGAGTATCTGAAGAGAGATCAGAACAACTCCCATCGTATAATGCCATTTGATATAAACCATAGCATTTAAGAGAGTTTATTATACAGCATTAACTAATCGATACAATAATCAAGGCAATCAAATGAAAGGTAATTATAATAAGCCGATGTTTTTAATTTTGGGCATATGTTATTATATTTGGAGACAGCATTTATGACCATTTTGTTATTCTAGTTTATTTTGGATAACTGGATTAACAATTGGCTCTAATGAGGATTGCTTTCAGTAACCGGGTGAGGTCAGAAGGACGTGCATCTTAGCAGAAACCCTGCTGACACAATCATATGATAGGACAGGAACTCAAGCTCTCCTGTGAGTCACACTCATGTCATGAAGATGGAAGTGATTCCTACATATGAGGAGTTATGAAATGGATGATATTAATATTGTTCATTCATTATCCATGTAGTGGTTATGACAGAATTAAGAAAAGTGGAGATATTTTGTTTATAGGAATCATATTTGTAGGAAAGACTGAAATTTGGGAGGACAAACAGGGAGGTAGTTTAGTAATAAAATGTAAACACACCAGCCATCCTTCACTTAAATTAAAACAGGCCCTCACGCATGGAATCCATCTTCTATACTTCAGGAGTAGATTACAGCATGAAAAAGAAATATTTTACATACTAATCAACTAAGTAATGCTTCCACATATACAAGACCAATTATTTCTTTCTAAAGATCATATTGGGTGAATCAATTTATCAAATTTGCATTTTCCTGATGACTCTACCTGGACATATATATTTGATAATACATTTTTGTTAGGGACTATGGTAGGCATTGTAGATGCTGAACGCAGTAACAGTAAAAAAGTAGGAGTCCAGTTTTAAAACCAGCAGAATGTTAAAATCCACATTATCAGTAAAGCAGTTACGGGAGTGAAATTAAATAGAATGACAGACACAAAATGACACTATATTTCAGTTTTTAATAAAACATCGTGTTAATGAACTTAGTCAACAAGGATAGTTTACTATATGTGAGTTATACAACACATGAATATTTTTTCAGTAACACGAAATAAAATTCTTGAGATGACATGAGCATTTGAAAAGAAATTTTTCTTAAGAATCCATATGAATTCACAAAATAATTAAGATTTTCCAAATATTTTTGGTTCAAATTTGGGTAAAATGTTTTAAAACTGAGAAAATGTACAAGGGAAGAAAATGTCCATATATTAGAGGAGAAAGCATGATAAACTGATTTGCTTACATTGTGCGGAGAAGGTAAATTAAGTAAATGGAAATTCCAGCAAATACATAGAAGCGGCATATTCTATTTCCATATTTTCTGGCTCCAAGCCTTCTAGCCTCCTAATCACAGGGAGCTCTTCAGCCCTAAAACAGTTGTCCCTTTTATAGCTGCCATTGCACAGAATCTTCTCAAAGCCCCCTTTATTTCTTTGTTCTTGAGACTGTAGATGAAGGGGTTCAGCATGGGTGTGACCACAGTGTACATCACTGAGGCTACTGCACTTGAGTGTGTGCTGTGGGGAGAGGCAGAGCTGAGGTACACACCTAGAATCGTACAGTAAAATAAGGACACAACGGAGAGGTGAGACGCACAGGTAGAAAATGCTTTATACTTTCCCTGAGCTGATGACATTCCACAAATGCAAGAAACTATCTTAACGTAAGAGTAAAGGATGCCAGTAAGGGGAAGAGCAGCCAAGAATCCAATGGAAAAATACATCATCATGTTATTAAGAAAGGTGTCAGAACAGGCAAGTTCAAAGAAAAAGTGGGGGATTTTCAAGACTGTACAGAAAGACAGTCTCAATACTGTTAAGCTTTGTAACAAGGAATAGAGGGCACTCGTGATCCAGGACACCAGAAGCAGCAGTCCACAGAGCCGGAGGTTCATGATGACCGTGTAGCGCAGGGGGTGACAGATGGCCACAAAGCGGTCATAGGCCATCACAGTCAGAAGAGAGTCATCCAATCCTGAAAAGAGTAGGAAAAAATACATCTGTGTGATGCAGCCTTTATAGGTTATGACTTGGCTCTGTGTCTGGATGTTCACCAGCATCTTTGGGACAGTGGTAGAGGTGAAACAGATGTCCACCAAGGACAGGTTGGAGAGGAAGAAGTACATGGGTGTGTGGAGGTGGGAGTCTGAGCTCACAGCCAGGATGATGAGTAGGTTTCCAAACATAGTGATCAGGTACATGGAGAGGAAAAGCCCAAATATGAGAGGTTGCCGTTCTGGTTCCTCAGAAAATCCCATGAGAAGAAATTCTGTAATCCGTGAATAATTTTCTGGTACCATGTGTTGGTGGTTATGACTAGCAATAAAAATTTAAATAATTAATTAACATACATGTGCATTACTAGCATCTTGAAAAGCTACAATTTACATTTTACACTAAAATGTATATGCGATATGTATATGATTTTCTGGAGATCTGATTCCTTTTAAGTAATTATTCCCAGCAGCAATAATTTCATTTTTACACATGTTTAATGAAAAATACTTTCACATATAAATTCTAATCTTCCTGCACTGATTTCATCTTTATTTGACCATCTTTGTTTTATATGGCACTTAGTGGATAAGGCTTGCCCTTCTCTCACTTTCCATGTGGCATCCTTTTTTGTTATTTTTGGCTTTGAGTTTCGATCTCTTTCATGACACATCTGATGGGTACGCTAATCCAAGTTCTGTTGCATTTTCAACATTTGAAGACCTCCCCAGACATATTACAGAAAATCCTGCTTATGCTACACCTATTGGTCCACTTTCTGTATACATTTATCCCTGAGGAAATGATGTCATACCACACTCATTGATAAATATGTGCTGAGTCCTTACTTTTCTCTTGTTAAGAACAGGGTGCTGAAAGAATACAAGGAAGTGCAAAATCATATACATTGTTAGATGCTGCATGTGATCTGAAAAAAAAGAGAGTATGTGCAAAAGAGAGTAGATGTGTGTGTTATATTTTTTATAGAATTGAGAAAAATACGAAAACAAGGTGGCATTTGAATAGAGACCTCAAGAAACACACAGGGAAGACAGGGATATCTGGGGAAGTGTGTATCCTGCATGGGAAAGAGCCAATGCAAAGGTCCTGAGGTTGGCACTGGTCTCAAGTAATCAAGGCTCAAAAGGAAGCCATGTGGTGAAAGGAATGAGTAAGAGGGAGATGATAGTGATGGTGTCAGAGAATGTGGAGGAATGAGATGGCCTGTCTGCTACAGATGAAACTTCAAGACACAGGGACTCATTCAATCTCTTCCTGTTCTTTAAACTTTATGTTTCCTTGCATAGGATCCTGTGAGGAGAAGTGATGCCTTCTTTATTACCATCTACTGATTGACATTCTGTATCTATATTTTAAAGGACCCATTCAGAGTATATAAGCTAGGTACCCCTACCCAAAGAAGTAGAGAAATGCTCATGCTCCACAGACCACATATACTCACACTCACAGACACACACACTATGTCCTCCTGGGGTCATGTTAATACCAGCTTCCACTCACCCCCAGACATAATAATGAGGAGAGAAATAATACAAGGCAAGATAATATCAGGTTATCTTGACCCTACGAGTTAGAGAAATAGTTCCAAAGTCTACTTGATAAGCTCCCATGAAGACATGTAAAAATAGGGCTCCATTTTCATACAAATATTTTCTGCCTTGTATATTAAAAGTCAGTTAAATAGAGATATAAAAAGATGAAAGACAGACAGACAGAGACAGAGACAGACCTAATAATCTTGGGTGGTCCCCGAGAAATTGTGATGGGGAGAAAGCGTCCTTGGTTATAGTGACATGCCAACCGCAGGTGTTTTGCCTTATGCCCAGAAAAATCAATAAAGTAGCACAAATCAATTTATTCAAAAGAGGAAAGGAAAGAGCAGTATCTTCATGGCATCAAAACCCCTTACAGATCAAACACCTTACTCGACGATTTGCAAAGAATAAAACTACAATTTACAAAAGGAAACATACAATGTATAGAAAAAAAGCATGGTTTTTTTAAGCTGAAATGAGACTTTAGCTAATAACATTATGTGCAAAACCTTGGGAATCAGAAAACCGGGTTTTAATTATGAGATCTACCACCTCTTAGTTTTTGAATGAGATAGCTGGACGATCCAAGTGGTAATATCCTCATCCAAATAGTGCAGACAGTGATATCAATTCAGAATGGTGACAGGTTTGAACAATATATGTAACATGCTTAGCAAAGTTAATCACTTATTTCCTGTTAGTAAGTAATTGATTATCACTGTGATGAGAGAAGGCTGATTGTTTTTTTTTCTACTTGTAATATCTCCACTGCTCCCCCACCTCTAGATCCCCAATTCAATAACCATATTTTAGTTTTTTGTCATCTCTCTCATCTGCTAAGAGTAGAGATCCAATAGATTATTGCATTGACCTATGGAGATCTCTGTACATTGAAAATTGTTCTTAAAACTTTCGCATTAATCTCCATCCCAGTGACTCCTTATTGGAGATAGAAGCCAAAATTTCATAGCTTCAAACACGAGGCTCAAGTCTTGTGATCTTTTAACCCACTTCACCCACATAGAGACTTGCCCGAGCTCACACTAATCTCCCAAACATAGAACTTGACTCCCAGCGCCACCTGGCATCACAGCTATAAGACTCAGAGCCTTTACATACATGCTTCCCTTTGCTTGGAGTCCCACCATGAGACATGATGGAACTCTTCACCCCTTCTCCATCCTCCAAACTCAATATTCTTTGTTTGTATTGCCTGCATCCTCTCCTTCATGAACCTTTTCTTTTTCTGAACATTATCTCAGAAAAGGATACTTTCTCATTAAGTTAATTGTGTATTAGGATACTCATAGCATAATTTTTATTTAGTTCCATGTCTTTTCTCCCTACTACAGTGAGTGCGGTGAGGCATGCAGTATGTTATACATATCACCACCCTCCAACAGACTTACCTGAGTTGGGAACAGTAGCTGAATAAATAAGCATTCCACGGAGGAATAGAAGAATGTTCTTCCAGAAAACGTTGATGATGGGAGAAGGCATAGAAAGAGGCAACACTGATCTAGGTATGGGGGACATGCCAGAGGAACGTTTTCCATATTCTGTATCAGGACTCAGTAGAGTGGCAGACTATGGTTTGTAAGAATTGAATAGAATAGAAAAGAAGGCACAATAGAAAATATGAGAGTGCATCATACTCAGTGAGGCTACACACATAATCGTTTCATGGTTCTCTTTGTCAGTTGTGTACATGTGTGTTTGTGTGTGTGTGTATCAGTGTTGCTGTGTGTGTGAAAGCATGGTGAATTACGATGTAACAGGCCTGTCTTAACTTGGGACAAAGTCAGGAAAATCTGAAATCTACTGCAATAAATGCAAGATTTGTTTGGAAGGTCAGTTCCTGTCAAGGAGGAAAAGCAACAAGATGAAGAGCCCAGAAGAGAGCCAAGTGCAGAGAGAAGAGGCAGCTGGCATGGCTGATGCAGTTTCCTCGGATTCAAGGGACATCATACTGACTGGACCTACACTTTCCTACTGACCTCGTCACAGCGTCGACCTCAGCCCTGATCTAATTGTTATTCTTGTACCTATTTCATGCTTATTTGACCAAACTTGTTTTCATATGGCCCGATAGAGCATAAGGCTGACCCTTCTCTCACTTGTCTTGAGGAATCTTTCCTTTATTATTATTGGCTTTGAGTTTTGACCTCCTTCATGCCACATCTAATGGGTACACTAGTCCTCATTCTGTTTTGTTTTCAACATGTAAACTCTCCCCAGACATATTCTATAGAATCCTGCTGATGCTACAACTATGGGTCCTCTTTCTTCATACATTTATCTTGAAGAAATAATGTCATACCACACTCATTTCATCGTACTGGGCCTTCTCCATTGCAATGTGATATCCAATGAGTAGGGACCTCTTTTATTTAACTTAACTATATGGTTTCATAAATATGCGCCTTTAAACAGAACAAATGTTGGGGAATGGGAAAATATAAGCAGGTTAAAATAATGGATTTTAATAACTGTATTAAGTGAACTTGAATAAATGTGTAAGACTAATTCTCAAAGAAAAGAAATAAAATACAATAATTAATCACATTGATATGGGTTTCTAATTCCAGATAATTGGCAACAACCTAAAGTGAAAAATATAAAAATAGACTTTTGAAAAGCACTGGAAGAAGAAGTGCCTAGTGTTATAATTTCTACCTATGTAAACATAAATAGAATCATATATGTTCAGAAAAGGATACCAGTGATCATGAATGAATGCAAAAGATGGGTGCTGACATATTAGTTTTTACATTTAAAAATAGCAGGGGAACATGATATGATAGACTGTTAGAATTGACCCCAATTTTTTTTTTAAATTCATAGTTTCCCTCAAATACATATTTACTTCTATAAAGGAATTCAATGCTAAACAGCAAAGTTGGTGAAATAAACTGAAATTTAACATATTGAATAAATCAATTAGTCTACCTAGCAAACATAGATGGCCATCTCTGGGCTCTAAGCGATGCTGCTTAGGCTCTCAAGTAGAAGTTCTCAGGTTCTTTCCTCTCTGACCCTTTGCTGCAGTACTAGCTGAGCTCTCAGACTCACCTGGATGGGGTCTCTCAGAGGAAGGACTCCGTGTGGAAGTCTGAATTTCTTTCTGGATAATTGATAATGGGGACTGAAGCTCTGTCCCCAGAAAAGAGAGCAGGAAGGAGTGAAGCATTGGTTTTCAACCAGACTTAGGAATTCAAAATAACAAACACGTCCTATAAGGCCCAAGGTTGCACACACAGAAGAGGTATTTTCATCTACCTTTATCTACTCATTAGGCACTGTTTACACTGTTGCTCCACGCTTTGGGCAATGATTTACCTCTGGGACACTGGTCTCCGCTGAATGGAAATTTTCCTACTGATTCTCTGTTCCCAAGGGACCAGGTTAGAAGT